ATTTTGGTTATACCCACTCACTTGTAAAAATCCCGCAGATACTAATATCGGAATCACGTTATTTGCATCTAGGTGTGGTAAATTTTCTGAGCCTTCAAAAACAGTTTTTCTACAACCAGTTATTTCTGCAGAATCTGTTAATTTCATCCACTTTATGAGCCAGTCAAATATCTGTATGTCACAATGCACCGAAATATCCACTTCATCAAGTTTTTGTCCGGCTGTAACCTCGGCAAAGTATCCCATTTTATTTACTAGTAATCTCTGCGAGCAAATAAAGTCCCTGGTGATATTTTTAACCTCATCGCATACGTGAATAACGACTTCTGATCTAAAATTGTCTGTTTAAGTTAATCTCTTAAAAAGAAAAAATCTTTATACCGTACTCCTTTTTGTCTCTTTTTGTCGTCACCAACTTCTTCATAGGCTTAGCATCGAGAAGAACTGTCTGGCAACTGGGTTCATTTGCTGCAATTCTGCACTCAGTTTTATGAGTTGCTGGGTGACTTTTATTCGGCTGGTCTGAATTATTCGCATCCATAGGTATAACTTTAGGAATAAGTGGTTCCTTAATTTTTTGTTTAGATTTTGTATGATGGTGAAAAGATGCCGGGACTGGTATCGGACATATAAAGGATAGCACTGAGTCAATCATGCCTTCATTAATAACGTAATCCAATTTGTTGTATAGCTTCACTTGCATATTTTCGCTTTGAATTATTCCGCAATCCATTTTCTTGAGCGTTTGCTGAGTAAAAGAACTAATAGCCATTCCTACAGTGCTTCGCCTTTGAGAAAGATTATGTTCGTTGTTTATATCGCTGATGGAAGCACCGCCATTTTCTAAGACCTTTGTCTGAAACATGTTATTTTTAAAACGCCTACCTAAAATATCTTGAAATAGTTGATTATCCACCATTTTCTCTAAATTTAAATCTTCATTTGCAGCATACGAATGAAAATCTTCTGATGTATTTCTTCGTACAAGCGTTTGCTGATTACTTTTCACTGATATAATGTCGTTAACGTGGCAAGAAACTTTCACGAAATCTAAAAATTTGTTGATGCTGATGTCTTGATTTGCACTTTCTACTTCTAACTTGCGTCTGGAAACCGCCTCAATTAAATTATTGCCATCAGCCGACTGTTCGCCAATAATCTTATCGATTGCATCTTGTTCTACTTTTCTGGAATTCATTTCTTGAGTTTATAAGACTTAGTTGTAAGCAAAATAGATTTGGAAAAGCGTTGTACATACATATTTCTGACAAAATAAACAAATTTGGTTTCCCTTGGAGATCAATAAAGCTGCCTTTACACGGGTCGATTTTGGTTGAACGACCACAAATGCCAATTCAATCGGAAAATGTAAAGCTGCCATTAAACGGGTTCTGTCGACTGAGAAATCGACCAGCCAAAACACCTTGCATGACCTACATAAAATATATGTACATATCGCTCATGATTCAATAATTAAAGGTTTTCCTCAATAGTGACATTAGAGTTTTGACGCTGCCTTAACTCCCTTACAAAAGCTTTGTACACACACACGAAACCACACACAGTGCCTTGCTCATATATGTAATACTCCTATATTGGCAGTAAGAGCTAGTACCGTCCG